GAGGCGTCTTTCAAGTAAAACCCAGGAAAAACCGGCCAGAGAGGGAGGACAGGAAGCTGCACTGGGGAAGGTCACCAAAAACAACCTGTCATAACATAGCTAAAAAAAAAAAGTTTATGCCATAGCTAAAAAAAAAAAGTTTATGCCACTACAATACTTTATGCATTATAATCAAGTCAATTTCAATTCAACAATCCTCCATCAGGTTTGTGAAGCTATAAATATTCACAGAAGGATACTAACCATCTTTCTCCCAAGGAGTTCCTGGTGGATTGGAACCGATGACCTTTTGGTTAACAGTCCAATACATAAAGTACTAGACCACTGAGGTTGCTCACAATATCGTAGGTTACCTTATAGAACAACAGACAATCAAACCAAGCTCTCCTAATCTCAAAAAAGGGGTGCACCTTGTCTAGAATCTACAGCTTACTTTCCCACCTTTATGCCAAAACTAAATTCCTTGAATCACTGGCTAACTAATCTAAGTTTCTTCTTCAATGTCTATGTTCAACTTAATTACCTTAAATTTTATATTCTACTGCATTGGAAAGATGTCTCTAACACTGTAAAGCATGTTCCCTATCTAAATCTACTCATCAGCCTACAAGGGCTAAAATTTCTTCAGCTTCCCAGTTCTATCAATCACATCTTTCCCAGAATAAGCATTTCATTTGATTTACATAATACATCACAATGAAATTTTCAAATGAGTGTGCCAGGGAAATCCCAGACATAGAAATTTTCAGGGAGGAAAAAAGGTGTGGTGAAGCCTGGGGTGGTGGGGAGTTGGAAGGGAGACGAGAAAAATACTTAATATTCTATTCCAATCATGCAATTTAATGTATTCCTTTAACAGATAAATATTATGTGCTTACTGTTCAGGGTGCTTGGACTTAACGAAATAGAGAAGAATCCCTACTCTCGCAGAGCTTACAATCTAGCAGGCAGAGACAGATGATGGAAATAAAAACCAAGTCAAGAGTAAAGGAAATGTTAGAATGTTGAAAGCAACTCACAGAATAGAATAATGGGAAGGGCACTTGCTATTTTAACAAGAATGAGACAATGGCACTGGTAACTGGGGGAAAGTGTCACAAGGAGAGATAATACCTCTCAACCCTCATGGGCATCCAGTGAGAACCAACTCCCAGCTGACTCTATCTAGCAGGTCCTCAGTGGCTGTAAAGTCCAGGGGAGAAGATCACAGAGCCACATGGGGATTCGAACCAGCACAGAGCTCCAGTCTTTGGCTTAGCAGTGCAGCTCCCTAGAGTGAGAAAAATGATAAGGTAATAAGATGCCTCACAAGGCCTGTTGTTGTCGTGCGCCCTGAGTCTGAGCAGACTCATAGTTGACCCTCCAGGCAGTTTTTAGAGACAGTCACCCAGTGGGAGTCTGTTCTTCCTTCTCACATAGAGCAACTGATGGATTCAAATGTTATGCCCTCAGGAATACTGCACAGCTTCTTACCACCAGCCAGGAGAGCTCCCTAAGACACATGCCAGCAAATGCAGAGACCAATTAGAAAAAGACTGGCTCAAAACCTCACTGCTATTAAGTATGTTTCCATTCACAGCAACCTACCCATTTCTGAGGATATAAATATTAACAGGAGTAGAGAAAGAAAATGGTAAATGAAGTCAAAGAGACAATGAGACGCTTTACCATGAAAAGGTTTTCTGAGCCACTGGAAGGATGACTGTGAAGGTGAGAAGTGGCAGATGCTTGACAGATGTGAGGTTAGAGCCAACATAGTTGCTCATGGGTTGAATGAGGACATAGGAGATAAAAAGACGCCAAGGATGACTCCAAGGTTTTTGATCTCTGCAACTTTACTTTTAACTTCAATATCCTCTGGTCATGTTATATATCATGTTATATATTAAACAAAACAATTTAGTACTTCATATTGTAGCTAGACTCTGTAAAGAGGCATGTGGCATCAGGATTGGAAGGAGACTCAACAATAACCCGTGATA